GTATTCTTGACATCTAAATTGGTTCATGCGTACTCATTTCCATGGAAGCCAATTGGTAATGAACATGTTATTCCTCCCAGTGCAGATCCGGTGCTTATACCTAACTGATGTATGTTGCGTGCAAAAGGTCGTCCAAAGTCAATCAGAATATGTAACGAGATGGATGAAGTAGAAACGAGTAAAAGTCGTAGTAAATTTAGTATTTGCAAGCAACCTAGTCATAATCGCAGAAACTATCTTAATCGTGAAGCTAACCAATATGATTATGTTTGGGAATCAGCTTAACTATTTTTCCTTTAATGCATTTCATTTTAGTTTATGTTGCATTACCCTTATCTATAGTTATTAATATATTAATTTGTTTGTTTCAATGTTAAATTACTATTGCCAAGTTATTGAATAAAATAATATGGAAAAAAACCAAGTAATAATAAGAATCACAGTCCATAATATAGTCCATATAATATACAATGTCCAAGACATAATAAGAAATATAGATAAAATCTACGACTAAGGAGGCCACGGCTGTTGACGCGCTAATCGATTTGACAATTTGCGGCAGCCACGCCCATGCAAAGACTCTACTGGAAGGCCTGTAGGTGGATCTGGTCCTGGATTTGGGCTTGGAACTGGTTGTATAGGAGTTGATGTCGAAGCATGGTATAAAGCTAGGGTGGCCTCTACCGGCTGGGTTGAAGGCCACTCTCCAACCACCACTGGGTCAAAATCCATATGGCTACAGAACTCGTCAATATCATCTTGAGACCACGTCTGATATTCTGTGACTACTGCTCTTTGCCCGAGTGGATGGCTCGTGCCCGAATGCCATGACCACTAGATTGGCGTGATACACCTCTGGCTCTACGAGTCCATCGGTGCACGCGTACTAGCCTGAGTAGTGAATATATGATCTGGCATGTCCTCCTGCACGCTAAGAGGGCTCATAATACACGAGTTGAGTGTCGTATGTATGACCTATCACTGGAGGCCTGAACCATCCAGTCGTGTGTGGCCTGGGTCCCTGAATAGGCTCTGGAACTGGTTGCAAAGGTTGACGATGATGTCCTAACACGCATCCCTCTTGTATACGATGCAGAATGTCAAAAGACAACCGCGGGTCAACCTGAAGCTGGGATGGGGGTGCATGTGGTCCTGCCTCTTGACTCTAGATGACTCTCTGAAAATTGCTAACATTCGACCAATCTCCTCATAGACCCACTCCATAGAGTACCCCAGGAGGTTCTTAGGTGCGATTGCGTAATACAGCATCTCCATGCCATCAATCTATAACTCACAACATAAATACATAAGCCAAACAAAAGAAATAAAAAACACATAATAATATAAATATAAATAACTTACATCGCGTCCCATCTTCGCAGCCCTCTTTGACACGTAACACTTGCCTCTCATCCTGTACCAATCCATGTACTCATGGTTGGGAGACATCAATCTCAAAAGTGGAGGGAGCACATCTATGAATTGCTCCCTGATCTGCCATCTATGTATAAAAGACCTCAGCTTACGAACCCAATCATCATTTTTTTTAACTCGAAAAGTATGATCATGTACACCTCTAAACTTTCTAGGCCTACTGGTATCGGCTGATCCCTCCCGAATTGTCGCAGGCATCCGTCGGGCTGGCAATACTCAACTATGTGAAAGAAGATAACTGGAGTCCTGGCCATCCAAAAATGTCGCTCATCATATGCATGCAAGAACTGGTAACCTCAGTATAGTTGCCAAACTACCTGCACAAAAAAATAAACATACAGACAGTATTTACTACCTTATGTAACCACTTTTTGAAATTTTAAAAATATATAACATGCCTCATCCCTATATAGCGAGTTTATTATGTACCGATACTACAACTGCTTATGTGGACTGAAGCGGGCTAAAGCATTAAACCTAATTTCCAAATGCGCACATAAAAGTTAATTATAATACTCGTAACAAGATACTGAATCGGGCAGTACAAAACACATATACCGGTGTCTGTAATGCCACTACGACTGCATAGGAAGAGGAAGAGGGGGAGCAATGGGCGGGAATTTGATTTATGCCCAGATTTGAAGCAGAATGTGGCACCCACTAATGTCACATTTGCACGAATCTGTACACTTGAACATCTGTCTGAACAAATGTGCGAGAATCGCAAACCCCCAGTTATATCTGCCAATCTCCTCAAAGCCACTTGCGAGCAATGGAATGTAGCGACATGCAATATTGCTACCCTTATCTGACGCACAAGAGCCATACTCCTAATATAAGCGCAATATGCGCCGTAGTGTAAAAAATCACCTACTCGGGATGCCCATCAACTTGACCCCAATGCGCATACAGTCTATCAAAGTATACAAGCCGTAGATTTCGATCTTTGAACTTAGTGTCCTCATCAGGCAAATGACCAAAAACCTCGTCACATGTGGCCACCCAATCGAAGGAGGTAGATCGGGTAACCAATTGCCCGTCAGTAGGCAATCCCAGGATAGTCGTCACGTCCTACAAGGTGACAGTCATCTCTCCTTACATCATGTGAAAGGTGTGTGTCTTGGTCTCCACCTCTCGACCAAAGTACTGATAAGGGCAGCATCAATCTAAAATACATAAGACAATATCAATTTATATGCAAACAATGCACTAATTTACAAAGGTTATATTTAGACACAATATAATTACATTCTAAAATACATACCTGAATATGTCGCATGTGTGCGACATGTATGAATCCGACCTGAGTAAGGTACTCTGTGACCACATCTGAAATGTTATCAAGAGCTGGTCCCCCCTGTAGTCTACCTCGTCGAGTCTTTAGTGCTCAAATCTTTTCCTTGTTCCACACTGCATGTGAAATGTGTCTGCCTAAGGAGGATGTCCCACTCGTATGATGTAGGAAAAACGTGTGTGGTGGTATCGATAGGCTTAGACTCGTGGTCGGATGAAGACCGAGGAGACTCGGATGATTACGACTCAAACTTATTAATATACTATAAAAAAATTACAAATTCATTGCTATAATTAATTTAAATTCAAATAATTTACATGTCTAGTACACTATTTAAAAAATATTAAATTACAAATACAATTTTTTTTAAATTTAATGTGCATCACTAAGCATAATGTATTCGTCATGTATGCCCTAAGTCACTACACAAAATAAATATGACGAACTACGATAATAATTAATATACATCTTAAATGTATGTATGCATAATCTAATTTATTAAGCATGAATAAAATTTTCTATGCATATATTATAAGTTACTATAATTCTCCTAAGTCACTAAGCATGTTATAAATCATTAACCATGTCGCAGAACAATATCCTACGTCACTATTCATACAATAAGTCATTAACAAATTTCATGGTCATTAACAACTTCCTAAGTCACTAATGATTTCTTAGGTTACTAACAATTTTCCAAATCACTAACAATGTCCTAGGTCACTAGTATAACATATCTATTGCTTTAATTAAATAATATAGAAAGCATATATTGAGACTTACTTGACTGACATAGTTTTGCTGTGCAAAAACTCATGGAAAAATCTATAGGGAAGTCAGAGTTAAATCTTAGTGAAAAAGTCGAGAAATGATGTGAAATGAAAAAGTGAAAAATGGGGTATATATAGGCTTGCTAGCTCTCACCTTTTTTGGGCAAGAATGGTCTCTCCTAATATGGACGAATTCTTGAGGGGGATCTCATCTTATTTGGACGAGAATGGTCTCGTCTTATTTAAGCAAGATTGAATGTAATAGATCATATCTAATAGATCATTAAATTAATTTCAATGAATGTAATATTATTATTTATTTAAATAATAATATTTTAAATTTTTTTGCCGATTGCTATTTGCTAATGTCCATAATGATGTTTGTCAATGAACATCATGACCAGTAGCAATGAGAGAAAGCCTTTAAATCAAGCGGTCCATAACTGTTTTTTATGGACCCATCTACAAAAACATCCCAAAAAATCATACTTGGAATTGACTGACCTACACGTCATGCACACTTTTTTTAAGTATTAAGTTGAATGTACTATTCTACAACCATCAATGGGAAAAAATATTCAGTGATCCTCTTTCTTTTTCCTTCTCTCTCCTCTTTTTTCTTTTCTCTCTCCCCTCTCTTCTCTTTCTCTCTCACTCTCTCTCTTATCACTACATATTCTCTCCATCAATGGGCTCTCTCTGAGTAGCTTCTAGTCTTTATAGCTAGAATATTTGCTCTCACCATGTGTGCTTAGTGAGTATGTCTTTTAGGGTGGATGAAAGGTTGTTGGTTAATGTTAGTTATTACCAACATAGAGATGTGAGATGTCCCACGTAACCAAACTACTTTTACACACTCATGAACACTGACCAATTCATATATATATATATATATATATATTTATATATTTAGGGAAATTATACTCTTATGCTACATAAGAGTCCTATCTCATTTTACACTCACATAAAAAGACGTGCCTCTTTTTTCTTTTTCTTTTTCTTTTTTTAAAAATTGATGGGTCCCACTTAATTTATCTCACAACATGAGATAGCTTCTGACATACAACAAGTAAAACCCATGCCATTATACCCCTTGTGATAACATCTTTTTATTCCTCAACTTCCTAGCTGTCTGTAAGTGTAGTTCTTCCTGAAACTCTCTTCCTTCCCGCTTTCTCCTCCATTAAACAAAAACCAAAAAGTTCAAACTGTTGATCAGCCTCAGTTTATCGAAGCAAATTAGACTTTTGGAATACCCTATTTCTAGAACCCAGATACAGAAATGTCTCGTATATATCTGATTTATTCTTCTTAAGATCAAACCATCCGTTATCTCATCAACTCAAATTCTTACTTGAGGAGGTAATTAAATGAGTTTCTTTCATGGTTTCAATTTGGCATAACTTCAGCAGCTCCTAAAGCTTCTTATCAGGGCTTCAAATTCTTGAAGTCTTACCCATTCACTCTACCTTTTTCTTTTTCTTTTTTCTCTGTCAGTGTTCATGGACTACTTGAAGGAAATAGAAGGCAAAAGAGTCCATGATTATCAGCAGAAAAAGAGTGATAAAATGGTAACCCCTATATGGTTTCCAGGACCAGTTATAATAGGTGCTGGTCCCTCAGGGCTAGCTGCAGCAGCATGCCTTAAACAAAAAGGTATTCCAAGCCTCATCCTTGAAAAAGCTGAATGCTTAGCTTCAATGTGGCAACTCAAGACTTATGATCGCCTTCGCCTTCATCTTCCAAAGCAATTCTGTCAACTACCTCTCATGCCATTTCCCAAAAACTTACCCTCTTATCCAACCAAACAACAATTTTTGGCCTACCTGAATGCCTATGCTGATCATTTTGACATAAAACCAGCTTTTGGAAAGACTGTGGTTAGTGCTGAATTTGATCATAGCTCTGGATATTGGAGGGTGAAGACTCAAAAATTGAAAAAGAAGGAGGCAGAATATGTTTGTAAGTGGCTGATAGTAGCTACTGGAGAGAATGCTGAGGGAGTGGTGCCTCAAATTGAAGGGATTGATGAATTTGAAGGGCCTATTATACATACTAGCTTGTATAAGAGTGGAAGCATGTTTTGTGGAAAGAATGTTTTGGTTGTGGGATGTGGAAATTCAGGCATGGAGGTTTGTTTGGATCTCTGCAACCATAATGCTCTCCCATCCCTAGTGGTTAGAGATACAGTGAGTATACTTAAAACTCATGATCTGCATCATGCCAAATTAAGATCTTCCATCACATGCTTTGTAGTAATATATATACCTAGCATGTTTAATTTTATACATATATAAAAATACACTTTCAGTTGATGTTTGGTACTAATTCTCTTGAAATCCAGTTTTAAAATGTACCAAATAGTCCCAGTTTTAAAATATATAGAAAAGTATGTTAAGAACCATGTTTTTGACAAAGCTGGAAACTGGAGAGTGAACACAGTCTGTTAACTATTATACTATATTTGATATAACTAGTATTATCAAAGAGTTTGTGTCATTGTTCTCTCACTTCATTGGAAACTGTTTGCATGCGCAAACAAGGTCAGCATCCCAAAGTCTTAGAATAATGTGACCTTTGAGTTGGAGATCAATCTTTTCTCTGCACAGAATCAATCACTGGTCAGGGTTTACAAAAATATCTGGAAGCATGAAAAGATATGATTGTCATTAGTCTCATCTCATGTCTACAATTTCCTAAAAAGGTTCTTAAGCACTTTACCTTTTTCATTTTTTATATTAACTATCATCTTTTTTCGTTGATGCAGGTGCATATCTTGCCACAGCAAATGTTAGGGAAATCAACTTTTGGTTTATCTATGTGGTTGCTTAAGTGGTTCCCAATACGTTTCGTGGATCAATTCTTACTCTTAATGTCACATCTAATGCTTGGGGACACAGCTCAATTTGGACTTCATCGTCCCAAACTTGGTCCTCTAGAGCTCAAGAACTTGTACGGCAAGACACCAGTTTTGGATGTTGGGACACTTGCTCAGATCAAAAGTGGTAAAATTAAGGTAAGATTGTCTCTACCCACCAATCAAATCCAAAAGAGTTTTCATCATGTTCTGCTTCCTTGTCTTAATCAACAAAATTTGCTTCTTCTTTTTTCCTCTAAGGCAAAGAAAGATTTAGAAGAAAAAAAATAAAATAAAAAACACATTTTTTTTCTTTCTGTTTCATTATTTCCAACATTAGATCTTGTCTATTATGTATAGGTTTGCCGGGGAATTAAACGACTATCACAGAATACAGTGGAGTTTGTTGATGGAAAAGTAGAGAACATTAATGCCATCATTCTAGCGACTGGTTACAAAAGCAATGTACCCTCTTGGTTAAAGGTGCTATTTCCTTTAACTCTTTGTTACTAACTTTGGCATATATATATATATAGCTTTGGTACTTACTCTCATAATTGATAATTAATATCAATGGAACATATATTCATATATTAATTGGGCTTGAAATAATTTGTACTATGATCAGGGAACTGACATGTTTAGTGAGAAAGATGGGTTGCCCCGGAAACCATTCCCAAATGGATGGAAAGGTGAAAATGGACTCTATGCTGTGGGATTCACTAAACGTGGCTTGCTTGGTGCATCTATTGATGCAAAGAGGATTGCAGAAGACATTGAACATAGCTGGAAAGCTGTTGAGGCCAATCATGTTATGGAGTTCCCTTGTTCACTTGCATGATGTGGGAAAGATGCAATTGTTTTAGGATTAGAAAATGAAGAATTGAAGGTTATATATTGCCTCTTCATGGTGTCTTTGACACAATGATTTGTACTAAAACATTTCCTCTCCAATTTGAGTACAACAGCCTCAAAAGAAGAAAAGGAGCTTGAGAAAGAAAAGAAAAAACCAAGAAGAGAGCATATAATATATATATATAGAATGTGTGATTCCCATGAATCTTGATGTGTAGTTTTAGTTTGGTTAGGTTGAATTTAATTAGGTTAAGTTGTTGTCATATTACAGATTTGTATATCTTGTACATTGCCGTATCTACCTAATTAGCTAGTTGAATTTTTTTTCAGAAAAAGGGTTGTTATAGTTTTTTTTTTTTTTTTTAATATTAGTTCTCCTAGGTTGCGCTGATTAAAGCTTATAAACAAATTTTATTCCAAGCGAGCATATTATGTAATGTATGTATCAATTTGACCTTGTTAATTATATAAATTATTTGTCAGAGATATAAATTAATGCTTTCTGATTTATATATCTTGTAATTAAGTTGGAGCAGGGGGACCATAAAAAATTATATTCTGATGGAAAACATTTGGAAAAAGGAACTCAAAAAAAGAGAAAAATCCAATAGCATCAAAAGAAACGTCCATTAGACTATGAAAAGGTCCCAATTCAAATGAAGATGATAGTGGCCTTCTTATTATCTATACAACTTATGCAAGTTACTTTTTTTCTTCTTTCAATATTTTTTTTTTCTTTCAATATTTTACAAGTAAAACAAATTAATCGTTATCTTCGCCTAATTGCGAGGCCTTTTCCATCGTCATCAAGAACACGGACCACATTTGCTCTTGGAAGTCCACAAAATGTATACGACAGTTTGATTGATCTCTTCCGGTGCCAACACTTGGATGGGCTGGATATGATAGATCGATCTAATAATAAATGAATGCTAAGTTAAGGTTGAAAATCGAATCCAATAGACATGTAAATTATGTGCTTATATAAACTTTGAATTCAAATATGAAAGGAAAATATAATTCAAAAGGAAAGTTGGAATTAAATGTTGTCAAGGCATTTTTTTATTTTTTATTTTGTAAACTTGTCAAGGCATTTTTGTGAACGTAAGCATATTATATATTTATTCGTATCTACTTATATAATTCTCATTCAATCAATTTTTAATTAATGTGAGATTTCATCAATTATATTTTAAATTTTCAGTATTTCTTTCATCTAAGTATGAGTCTGAATATTAGTATGCTTTCTTTGAGCCTTTTCAAGTTAAACACAAACCTGAGTAATAATCACCATTTTCAAATGTTTGGCTCAGCTATTGACCCTAATACTACTTATTAGGTAGTTAAGGCGAGTCCAAAAGGAGAATATATTCATCAATGGACGACAAAGTATAATTAATAATGAGCTTGACACCAATTCTTTGGCCTAAAAACTTTTAAAAGAATGTACAATGAATGTGAAACATGATCATTGCTTGAAATAATAAAAATGTCTTTCTCAATAAATTTTTTTCGTGTTTTTCAACCCTTACTATTGCATAAATCAACAAATACTAAACTTGAATTTATTTGCACATTATAGGTAATACTCCGAATATGTATTTGAAATTAATCCATTTCATTACGTGAGATAGTTCAATATTTTATGTACTAAGTGTTAGAAATATAATATAAAAATTATTTATATGATGATTTTACTAAACAATTTAAATTTTTGAGTTGAGTTACTAATATGGTATAAGAAACTCTATGATCGAGTGATCCGGAGTTTGATCATTGATTTCCACATTTTTCTAATAAATTTTTGGAATTTGTTACCTAGCATAGGGTTAGTGGGATTGTACATTGTCTACCTTTCAAACCCAATAGGCTATTACATGAGGAAGCGTATTAGAAATATAATATAAAAATTATTCATGTGTGTTTTCAACTAATAACTTAAATTTTTGGATTAAATTAATTGTTTGATACTCAAATAACTTACTATAAATAATTTCCATAATCTAATTAATATTTTATGTCTTTAATAATTTTTAAGTATTATACTAAACATGCAAATTTTGAATTCTCGTACGCCCAAGATATTAGTATGTTACATCGTTACGAAGAAGATAATATATTGATCCAAAAAAAAAAAAAAAGATAATACATTAAACACTACTTTTAAAATGATTAAGAAAGAAGTCAAATTAACGATGAAATGTTTTGTTTTCGATATATCTCAACTTTTTATTGTATAATTAGTTTACTTCAAGTATTCTTTATCATTATTTATTTTCATTATAACAAAAGTAAAAAAAAAAAAAAAACGAATTAAAAGGTATGTTGTGCAAGTCAATAAGCTAGTTGTACATAAGTAAAATGTAGCACGTCAAATTAATTTAATATTTTAACAAAATAAATATTCATAGAATATTAAGTATGAGCAATAAGGTTCTATATTAGTTAAAAATAAAATAATGAGGACCATATAAAGCTCATAGGACTCATTGCAATAAAATTTTAACTTGAGATATGGGGAATGAACTTAATTTATCACTTAATTCATTAATAAAAAATATATCTTACAAGGATTTCGTAGTCCCCCGATACCCTTTCCATTAAATGCTTTTCCCTACTACAACTACAAATGAGAAAGAGTGCTAGCTGGTACAAGATATTGCTAAAAAAGAGATAAATCTCGAATGATTTGGATTTTCATTGAAAATGACAAATATATTTATAAAGGAGATAGTTAGGGGTATTAAGATACGTGTTGATGTGTTTTATTCCGACCGAGTAGGGATGGTGAGCTTATAATACTCATGAAATATTATGCTTTGAATGAAGACGAATAGGCATCACTTAGCATCAACCCTTCCCAAGTCCCAACCTTGCAGCTTGGACTACACTGCACATACGCGCGCGCACATATGAACAGTTGATTATCAGCATCAAGGGTTTCCTTTTCTAGTGGTACATTCCAATAGAGGACCACCATAAGTGTGCCCTACTAATTATTGCCTGACCCATGAAATTTCTTAATTTGATCCTTAACAACCCCTTAATTCTTGCCCATCTTTTTCTTCTTTTGACCCTTAGCCTGTCATCCCAAATTCATGATTCCTTATTCATCATAGAAAGGAAATAAGATTATGTTCATATCATGTCTAAGCAAAGAAAAGAGCCAACATATAAGCAAAGATTCCTCAAGATAATGCACCCATCTCTTCTCTTTTTTGGATTTGAGCACGTTTCCCCTCCCCCACTAATGTGTTTCTTTTGGCTTTCATGGATTGATTCACACTTACATTATATTTAGTAGGATCGCCCCATTTTTTTTAAAAAAAATTTATACAAAAACTTATTATATTTTCATAATTAATATTGTATTTCTTATCTCTCTCTCTCTCTCTTTCTAAGGGTGTGCATGGCAATCATTCTGTTCTTTGGCATTATTTTTGTGCCTTGGAACAGTTTTTGAGAAAAAAAAATGTTTGATAGCATATTTTATTTTTATTCCGACAATGAGAATTGTGTATGATAATACAACAAATAATAGAATAAAAAATCATTCTTATTAAGTATAAAAAAAAGTATGATCATCACTTTCCTTATCATATGGTGTGGTGGCAGTGGTGGCTTGGAGGTGGTAAGGGTGGCGACCGTGGTGGTGACATGGTGATGGTAGTGGTGGTGGTGGTGACGGCATTGGCTACGGCGATGGTGGTGGTAATATTGGAGATGTTGGTGGCGGTGGCATGGTGATGGTAGTGGTGGTGGTGGCATGGTGGTAGTGATGGCGTGGCATCATCGTGGTGCGATTACGACAAGTATACCGATCGTTTCAAGTAATAAAAATGGAAGTAAAGTATCGTCCCACGAGGATTAATGCACCAAATAATATTATAACTAGTCCCCTTAATTTGGACAATTCAATTTGGTTTAGGAAATAGATTTTGAATAAAAATAAAAGTAATTAAAATTAATTGGTGAAAAACTCAAGAACATTCAAGAACGCAAGAAAAGATATGAGTAAAGAACGTAAAAAAACAGTAGCTAGGATGCACTTCACCTTTGATCCTCCCTTATAAATCCAAATTAATTCTTATAATTAATTAACTCAATAGTTCAAACAATTTTTCATCTTTCTCAAATCAATTTGTTAAACACTAATGTCTTAGTGTATTTAACCTTTTAACCCAATTAGAACTCTAGTGTCCTAAATCCATCTTGAATCAAGCATTAAGTTGTTGAATTAAAAAGTCTGCAGTTCACCCTAGTCAGAATTAAAATCTTAATATGTCTATTGTGTGTTCTAACCCTTAAAACCCTATAAAAGTGATCAATTCTGATAAGGATATGGAAAATTCATTCAGGGTAAAATAAAACTACTTGAATTAAAATAATTATAAAAACAATTCAAAATTCATAAAGGTATCACATTGGATCCATGATCCTAACTAAAAAAGAAAATTAGCCAGACTTAGCTGGCTTAAACAAAATAAAGAAATAAAAAGAAGAAGAAATCATGAAGAAAAAAAAGAAGACGAACAATCAATGTTGTTTAATCTCTTTCAAGCTCCCCCCTCTCTGAAATCTCCAACTCTGGTATCTAGTAATATCTTCCTCCTCTGAATATGCTTGCCTCTGTCGAATTACCTTTGTGTTTTCAAGAGTTTCTTTTTTATAGGGATGAAACCATATCTTTTAATTTTTCATAATATCTTAAATGGAATCTTCACTCGAATCTCTAATCATATATTTGATCCAATCCTTCAAATATTTCCTTTTTTTATTTAATGAAAAACTTTCCTAAAAAATATTCAAAGAAAGATTCAATAAGATCTTCAATTATTCAGAAATCCAAAGCAACTCTACTTGATCTCTCCAACTTATCTCTTTTTTAAGCTAAAATTTACTGCAAAATATAAGAATTTTTATGAGAATAAAATAACAATTTAATTATAATTCTCATAACTTTTAATTACTCTTAAATCAATTTCA